ATAGTTTCGTAGGGCATTGTAGAAACCCTCAAGGACAGGCTGAAGATAGAAGTTTTTGAATTTGCCAGAAGCAGTATATAGAAGGAAAACGTTTGCTGCTTTCTCTTATTAAGTGGTCTGAGATCTGTAAGGGAAGCTTGAAACTGAAACTTGAAACTAGTTTGAAAACCTACAGTTTGAAATCTGCAGGTTTTTGTCTACAGTCATTTTTGCCTTCCATTCAAGTATCATCTAAGTTGCAAGATGAAGCCAGTACTTCATCTGGGATGCAGTAAGCCCTTGCAGTAGTAGAGGTTGGGGACTGACTGCTTAGAAAGCAGCTTTGGATAAAAAGACCTGTGTGTCCTGGTGGATAACAAGTCTGAACAGCTGTTAAGTGTGTGCCGTTGTAGCAAAGGCAACTAACTGGGCTGTATTAGCAAGAGTGTAGCCAGCAGGTCAAGAGAAATAATTTTTCCCCTCTGTTCTGCACTTCTGAGACTGCATCTGGAGCACTGTCCGATCTGGGGCTCCCCAGGGTAGGGAAGACGCTGACATACTGAAGTAGGTCCAGCAGAGGGCTGCCAAGATGTTGAGAGGGCTGGAACACATGGTTTAGGAGGAGAGGCGCTGAGGTTGTTCAGCCTTGAGAAGGCTAAGGGGAGATCAGCTATCTAATGGGAGGGTGTAGAGAGGACAGAATCAGAATCTTCTCTGAAGCGCACCATGAAAGGATGAGAGGCAACAGACGCAGGTTGGAACAGAGGGAAATTTGATTGGATACAAGGGAAAGGGTCCCCCCCCCCCCTGGTGAGGGTTGGTAAATACTTAAAGAGGTTACCCAGAGAAGTTGTGGAATGCCCATCCTCGGAGATGCTCAAAATTTGATTGGACAAAGCAACCAGCTCTGGACCTGCTTTGAGCAGGTGATTGCGCTTGATGACCTCTGGAGGTCCCTTCCCATCTATGCAATTCTATGATTATATATTTCTGAAATGAGAAATGAAGCAGTGATGTTTAAAATCAAAAGTCAGAAAGCTTTGTTGTGTTTTTTTCCTTATTTACTTTGGACAATAATGTAAATTTCAGAGTTCCTTGTTCCCTTTATCTCTATACAAATTAAGTTGTTTTTTGTCTCCTGACCATAAAATATCAACAGCATTCACACAGCTTCGCGTTTTTCTTCATTTCTTCTCTGAACACCCCCTTTTCCTTCAGAATGATAAAATATTCCAATTCAGTTCAAGTTCTACAGCAAGAAAATGAGATCAGCTATACCAGTTTGGATGAGGAATTGTGAACTACTGCAATGTTTATAGGTAGACATGTGGGGAAGAGTAAGAACAGGATGGGTGTATATATTTCTCTTGAGCATTCTCTTAGCCTTTGGCTACTTAGAGCTCAAGGAATCTCTTAAACCTTGTGCGATTTCCCTGTTTACTATTTCTTTGTGAATCTCTCTTCCTGGTGCTTGTCCAGGCTTCCTGTGAACACACGTGTAATGTTTCTGTCCATGACATATTTTGGTAAGAAGTTCTGCTGACTTGCTGTTTGTTATGTGAAGAATCGCCTCCTGTTGTTTATTTTGAACCTTTTTCTGTTGATCTTCACGTGATTTCCCCTAGTTCTTATGTTAGAAGAGACAGCGAACAGTTGATCTGCATTGCCCCTCATCATACCATTTTTGGTTCTGTAGACCTGCCGTATTCTCTTTAAGTTGTCCTGTTTCCAGGCCAAAAGTCCTTGCCTCGTATGAAAGTTCTTCCTGCCTGTGTATTATTGTAGTTCTCCTTAATGTTACTGAGTCTTCAGTTTATTCCAGTTTCAGGAATACTTCTAGAGAAAAGATTCTCACATGTTAATTTTGTCTACAGGTTTTAATGAATACTGTAGATTCTTAGAGATGAAAGATACAACCTATTGCCATGAATGTGAGGGTAGAAATGTTACTGAGTTACCTAGGAACCTTGAGAAGTGATATTCTCATCCTGAATTTTTACGCTTCAGAACAAGAGAAAATTCGTAGTTTGTATTATGGCTGAATCTATAAACGTACAAAATAGTGTAGTACACAGATCTCTGACGTTATCAGTTGCAAGGCGAAACCCTTGTATTATTACAAAAAAAAAAGAAGTCTTTGAGACCAGTATACTGCTGAATGATTAATACTTTCAGATATACTTTTTTTTTTTTTTATAGTTATATTATGCTACCTGGATTTTGAATGGTTTTAGTATTCAAACCTACAAGTTTGGGAAGTGCTGACGAGAGTAATAAAGATGCAGTAGTAGTTCAGGTTGAAGGAGATGATGAGTAAGAGTCTTTAGAAGGAATGCATTTGTGTGAAGAGCATTGGGGCTTTTTTTATTTTTTTTCTTCACCAGTGGCACACCTCCTTCACCCCTGTAGCACTGTATGTTTAAACTGCTAATAATGCACATATATTCAAATTTTCTTTAGGTGCTGTGACAAGAAAAAAGGTGGGAGCTTTGCTGTTATGCTTACATTTCTACAGACAGAATCTTCTGTGTCCTTGATAGGTGTCTTTGGAAACTGACGTTCTTCATAGTATAGTGTATGGCTGTATGGAAACTGTTAACGGACATATATGTATTAAAAAAATCACTGCCCTTTCTAATTATGGAATATTTTACTAGCAAATTGGTACTTCAGATCTAGATTTGGTAGGTTATTACTAGATATTACAAAGATTTTTTTATTGCTTCTTAGTCTGAAAGATCTAGCATGAAACCAGTGAATGACTCCAATATTGTAAGAATGTTTGAAATTCAGAGGTAATGGACGTGCTGCTGTGTTGTACTTGGAGTGTGTGATCCTTCCTCGTTATCTGTTAAATAATGAGATGTAGAGAGCTTAGCGAAAGCTGTTCCTCCTTTTGAATTTTTTTTTTTGTCCAAAGAAAAACTTCTTTGGCTCAAGGATTCTTGACTATGCTCTAGTCAGCTTACCATAAATTTCTTTATAATAACCTACGTTTCTGTCTTGCGACCTCTTGAAGTCATCATGGCTTCAGTTTGGTTTTCTTTCAGACCCAGAACTTAACCTGTATATGGTTTTCTGATTATTCTCCTGAACACTGTTTGTTAAGCTGTTGTCAGTAGATATGTATCAGTGTTTCTAGGTTTACATTTTGCTTTGTAGTCTAGAATTACCAAGGCTATTTGTGCGTGCAGATTTTTTGATGGTCTTTGTTTATGGAGCTTGTTCCAAGAAGTTAAGTCCTGTATAAATTGTGACCTCCTGTATTCTCACTGATAGTATAGCTTAAAGTATTCTTAATATCTTGCTTTTGTCTCAGTATACCAGAGGAGATGAAGGCATATTGTCAGAATAGCTGAAACTCTCAGAACAGTACAACTGCTGCGTTTTGTTCTTGGTACTTAGCTGGGAGTTATGTCAATATTGTGGTTGATTAGGAGGGTTTTGTGGTTTGGGATAACATTTCTAAAAGCACACAGAAAACACTGAAGTAAGATGGGAAGGCAGGATCCTGAAGTTCTGTAAAATAGTGTTCTTTAGATGGGAGCTTGATGTCTTGGCACAGCCTCCTCCTTTTTGGAGGAAATCCACAGCAAAGAATTGATCAAAGCAGCACGTGCAAATGGTGAATTTGAAATTGCTGTAGTATTTTGAAATTTTGCAGGTCTCTGCAAGGTGATGCACTCAGTTAGTAGCAGAGGCATGTATATTGGTATATTTTTATTACATTTTGTTAATATAGGGAAGATATGAAAGTCTTACGCTTCTTCACCGACTCTCTGTAAGTGAAGATTGAGCTAATTTTCAAGTGTAAGTAGCTAGAGATAGGAAGACCCAGAAAACCCAAAGATGACCGTTGAGGCTTCTGTTATTCTGAACAAAGTGAATCAGCTGTGGAAGATGTTTTGCCTTTCCTTCTCCCTTCAGTCCTTGAGAAGAGGGTAAGGTGTAGGGGGGGCGGGGGGAGGTAGTGCCAAAATCATTCCTGAACAGAAAGGGAGAAATGTGAACTGTCTAACTGTCAGTAGGGCATTTTCTAATACCCAGTAAGCAGAAAGTCTGTCTGATAGGACACACTCATCGTTGCTCAAATAAAGGATTCACTGAGGTCACTATGAAAACCATTATACTCCTTCCGTGGGCAGGGAAGGTGGCTAGACATGTTTTCTGCAACTTGCTAATGCTTTAGGCTGCATAAGATACGTAACGGTGAAGTATGTAATTCATGGAAGAGGTCAGAATTTTGAGTATTAACTTTGTCATTGGTATTTCTACTTGGTGTGGCTTACCTGCATTATTTTTATAAAACATATGTTCACTTCTGTGGAATGTTGTTGATTGACTGATTGCTATGTTGAAAGATGCCAAACCAAGTCTGTTATCATCGAGTTTATGGAGTCGCAATTTGTCGTTGATCAAATGAAGAGCATGGGAACTCGGCGATATCTATCTCCTGCTCGGGGGTCTGAAAATAAGCGACTTCAGAGAGGTTCTCTCAATAGTGCTGTTGCAAAGAAACTGCTAAAACTGACAAACCTCACACTTGATAATATTAGGGATGTTATCATTTGGTAGAGAGGACAAGTTTTTTCATGTTTAACGCTGTTACCTGTTTTTCCTCTCGGCCATCCCAAACTCTTGTTTCTTGTCTTACAACAATTGTCCCACCAGCAAAGGGTAGAAACTGTTTGTTTTCAAACCATCCAACTCAGCAGGATAAGATTTATACTCTTAGCACACTGTACAGTGTGCCAGTGGTGGGTTTTTGGTGATTTTTTGCTTTTTTACCTGAAGTTTAGTTTTGGGCAGCTTCCCCCCAGGAGGAAGAGACCCAACCATAGTGCTGAATGCTCTGAGAGGATGGTTGTAAGGTTTAGTTAATGTAGAAAAGTTCTGATGCGGAAGAGAATTGCAGAAGTAAATAAGTAAGTTGTCCTCTGTGTTTGTTATACTATAATTTAAAACTAAAAGCCAAACATAGTTATAACTAATGCATTGTTTTACTTTGTTTTATGTTTTAGAAATATGGCAAATTAACATCTTGTACTGGCTGCAGAGCTCAGTGCAGGTTTTTTGACATGACTCAGTGCATAGGACCTAATGGATATATGGAGCCATACTGCTCAACTGCATGCATGAACACACACAAATCAAAATATGCAAAATCACAAAGTAAGTGAAAAGGATGATGGATTTTCATCACTGATAAGAGTAGACCTGATTTTTTTTTAATGAAGTTTGAACACTGGGGGAGTTATTTTGTATTTTAGAATGAGTTTTTACAGATATTTGATGACTTCATAGGCTTTTTTAAAAGTAGATTTAAAAAAGAAAAAGATAATATTATGTTCAAGGCTAGTAAAGGGCCCCTAATGGATCTTTTCCCTGCTGGCCTTTTTTCCTGATTTCGAAAACAGTATTCAACTGTTTTAAGGCATCTGGGGAGAAAACGTTGAGATGTAGTGTGCTCTGGTGTGCCACGAAATGAAGTGCAATTTTCTTGCTGCGTGGACTAATATTCTCTTGTCTGTGATCCACCCCTTCTTACCCCATTTTATCTCTTCTCAAGCAATAGTTGATCAAATTTGTCCCTCAGAGAAGGAGAGAGATAGTTACAATGTATATAGATGTTCTTCAGCTAAAACTTTTAATCTGGGAGAAAGGAATGGGTAAATATTTCAAAATGTGTATTCTTCACTATGGGAAAGATGCATTGAGTTATCTGAATTGAGAGCAAAATTGAAAATGCTCCAGCGAATTTGAGAGGAAGGAGGTGCTATTTCAAATTTAATGCTGAGCTTTAAGGGAAGAATTCAGCAAAAATAACTGCAGTTTCTTTTCTGTGTGACTTCTGGAGACTGGCTGGAAAACAGACTTTTTTTTTTTTTAAACATTGAAATGGTGGGAAGAACAGACCTTTAATCCAGTATTTTTTACACTACTATTTTGTGTTTATTTTGTTTGTAAACTACGTTTTTCTTTTAGGTATGGGAATTATTTGCCACTTTTGTAAACGAAACTCTTTACCTCAGTATCAAGCCACAATGCCTGATGGAAAACTGTACAACTTTTGCAGTTCCAGTTGTGTAGCTAAATTTCAGGTTAGCTGTTGTGTTAAATCTTTTCCTCCCTGAATATTTGTGTACCTGTGTTTGTGTTAAGTATGTGCATATTAAAACTAACTTGCTTTTGTATACGTGTTTATGACTTACGAGTAACATAGATGCTGCTGGGTCATACAATTTCTTTGATATTAAAGTACAGTTTCATAATGATAGCTGCTGTCTCAAACTCATAAAATAAAATAACCCTTTTTTCCTTGATCTATAAAAGAACACAAAGCAGTGTCAATGCTCATCTTACTTTGCTCACCCCGCCTCTATATGGAGATGAGCCTTACTGTTTTGCGTTGAAGGTCAACAAATTTCAGCTCTTATGTGCTAAAGACTTGCACTAAGCTTATACTTTTATGCAGAAAGAAAATTCTCAGGTTGAATATTGTACTAACAAAGGTTATAGTTCTTGGTATGTGTCTTGGGGAGCAGTGACCATCTCTGAAATGAAAGGTTAGGACCTTTAGGGATAAAATTAACTATTTATATTATAGCTGGACACCAAAGGGCTGCAAGCCTAATGATAGGTACACCGTAACGGCTGCTATGCTTTTGGAAATTGTTATATTTTTTAATATGATTTAAGGTTAAAGGATATGTAAAATAGATTGTAATAGTTAATTTGTAGATGATGAAAGTATTTCATCATTTCAAAGAAGTTGTTTTGATTTCTGTATGTAAAAACAAACAATTTTTCAAACTTGTGCTGCTCACTTGTTCAATGTGACAACAGTCACCTGTGCAAGGTTTCCCATTTGTCATTAAAGTTTGCATTGTTCTATGAACTGGAAAGCAAATCAATCTCCTAATTGCTTCCTTAATGTTCCCAGACAAGGCTTCCATTATGTAGCCCTCTTCTGTGCTTCCGTCTTCAGTCGTATGGTAGAGGTCTCTCAGTGCAGTATAAATGGACTTTGTTAACAAAATAGTATATAACGGCTTGCAAACTCAACATCTTTTTCATCCTGTGTGACCCTAAAATTGATTGCCACCCCAAGAGCTCTGAGAACGAAAACATTTCTCTGCTGTTTGACTGAAGAAAAACAAGGCTAGCAAATGACAAATGCAGTCTGGCCCTGCAGGTGTCTGCAGATCAGTCAGCGTTTAGCAACATTATTGAATGCAGCTACTAGATCAGTTGATGCCGTTATGGGTTCCTGATCTTACTGAAATCTTACTGATGCTCCTGTTGCAAATTCAGTGCTACCTGTGGGTCTGTCTCTTTATTTTATAGTAGAATTTAATTAGAGCAGTCATACAGTCTAAGAGTTTTCAGTAAGACCAAGAAAGATGATAATTTGCTTACGCTTAGCTCAGCTGTCTGTCAAATTACAAACTTTTTATGGTTTTCACATGCTTACTGACTAGAAGAATAATTTTTTCACCGTTAGAAACGAGTTGATTGTATGGGAACAGCCTGTTTGCTCCATACCCTTAGTCTTGCGTCGGAAAGGACAGAATTCTACAACAAATTTGGACCCTAAATGTTCCTGTGGTACCTAAGTGACACATATGGGATTGAACCTAAATAGAAAAAAACAGTTTATTCCATTCAGTCAAGTTGCAATACTTTTTGCAACAATGGAAAAAATATGTGTATATATATATATATATATTTTTTTTTTTTTTACTATATTGCTCTGTATTTTTGATGGTTTTTATAGTGCAGATAACTTTATTTTACCGTTCTGGCATTATATTCACCCCTTTCTCTCAGTGTGCTTTTTTGTTGTTGTTAGGGGTTACCCTTCTCACAGCAAAATAACTGTTGTTGAAGACCTGAGTCTCCCTTCTGCAAAATTTTTAGTCCTTTTGGATTACAAGCGGGTTGGAATGTTCAAATTCCTAATTTTGGTTAAAGTGCTCTAGGGTTGATTGTCATTTTACCACATGAATAACCTTTTGTTTATAGCTAGTTACTGCTTTAATGTATTAAAATATTTGAAGGTTTCAGCTGAGCTGCTCATTTTGCAAGTGATGTCTGTAAATGCATTCTCCTTTGTTAGGACGACTTGCAGGTGCATTCATCTTTGTATTGCAAGTGGGAAAATGGCCTGCCTGTTGTGACTTTCACATGTTGTTGGTAGTGGAATAGTGCAGCTCCGTCTTCAATATGGAGCAAGAAGGTAGTCGAGAATGTTGTTGCAGTCAAGGGCAAAGTTGTTCCAGAGTCGTGTTGTCTTAACCCGCGGTTTTGCTTTTGATTTTACTGGCTCAGCCGAAGATCTTGCTCTGAACTCATCTCTTAAGGAAAAATAAAACGGCTAATTTATTTCTAGTGAGCATCGCCTGTAGTGCCAGTGTCTTACAAAAGCTATCAGTGGTACAAGTACAAACGTCTTAAAGTATAACTTATTTTGCCTGAGCAAGGGCTTATACATAATTTTAGCACAAGCTTTCTGAAACTTCAATTTTCAATTTTTGGATATATCTGAAGAGTTGTAGAGACGTGCTTGTTAGAGAAATAATGTTCCAAATCTGATCCTAATGAAAAGACTTGAGGCTTCCATGCTGCTGGTGGAAGCTCTGTATGTGTGAGGGTAAGAGGAGTGTTTGCTTCCTTCCCCATTTAATTTAGTGCCCTTAATTTTGTTTGTGGAAGACCTGTAGTGGATGACTATGTCTGGGCCTCCTTAGAAGATTCTTCATGAGGGATTTGTTTCTTTTCCACGTTAATAAGAATCTAGCTCTTTCAAAGGTATTTCTTCTGGACTGAAAAAAGCTGACTACAGTTTGACTATACACTAGACCTTCAACATTGGCATACAGAAATATTTCCACAATTTGACTTTGTGTTGCTGTGAGGAAGGATAACCACTCTTTATCACGTACGCTGTAGAGACAGGTAGTAGCAGGGGCAGGCCAGAAGCTGTGCTACCAAACTAGTCTCCTCAGAGGAGTCTTAGGCTGTGTTGGCTTACTGTTTAGCAGTAATTTGACAGCTCAGAGCAGTTTCTGAGGTGGTTGCATTGAAGCCTAAAAAAAGCTTCATAATGGTTTTAGCTGTGCTTGGCACTTCCTGTGCTCTTCTTGTGCAGGGCAGGCTCAAGAAAAGCCAAAGGGAAACGTGACTATTTTTAGATTGGATTTAAGATTTTCAGAAAGAACATAAATACATAATTTAAAAGGCATCTTTTATAAAGTACAGCGTCAATAAAATCTTGCTGTTCAGAGTGAAAGATTTTAATGAATTTATGATCTTTTTGCTACATTATTCTTTGTGTGTAATAATGCTTCCAAATACTTCATAAAGGTAGTCTCCTTTCTAAGCAGCTTATAATTTGGAGGGAAATGAAAGATAGTAAAAATACTATGTGTGTGTGTCTCCTTGACTCATTAAAACATGGAGAGGCTCACCATGGAGAGTCTTTAATTGTAGGCAGGATAATATGAACTTCAAGGAGGCGTTCAAAATCATGTTTTGATTAACTCTTGATTTTGCAACTTTTGTTGGTTTATTTTAGGACTATCGTTAATGCAAATTCAGTCCTTCACTGATCTCTGTGGGAAAATGTGTAATAGAGCTTTCATTTGTTATTGTTTTAAAAGCCATCATGCTTAATTCTTTAGGGATTTTATCTACAGTTAGACAGGAATATTATTTAAAAACAAATTTTACAGTCTTAAAAATCCGTTCTTCTCAAATCTCTACCTTTTGCTATTGTTCAATTACCAACCTGCTAGAGTAGATTGGTCCTGGATTTTTACTTTAACAATGGGAAAAGACATAAAAGAAGCTACAACTGCCATATATCACAAAACAAAAAGAGCAGTTTTTTCTTCCTTTTAATTTGTAGCCCTCAAAATAGGGGATTTTGGTCCCATATTTCATGGTAATTACAGACATCCAAAAATAGTCTCTGTTCAGTTAGTGAGCACTTGATATTTCCTTTCATCATCATTCCTCCCACTGTACCTTGGATATTTTTGTAGAGGATGTCGCATCTGCTGATTCTTTCACATCTCCTTCATTCCTGAACCAGGAGTAAGATTTGATTTGTTTGTTTTCAACCACATGCAACTTCTTCTGGGACCTTCATTGCGCTTATATCATCCATATGGCAGCACATGTTGAACAGTGTTTGCTTTGTAAGGAAACCTTCAAGTGCCGAAATACCATAAACTAGACCTTGACCTCAAAACGCTTTTGTGGCTCTCGTGTTAGTACAATTGTTCAGCTGTCTGTTTAGAGCAGCCAAAATCTAGTAAACCTCTTTGTACTGCATGGAGATGAGCTGGATGTAGTGGGATAAATATAACGGTACTGTATGTGGACATCAAACTCTGTTAAAGTTGTTATGGGACAAGAAGCCATTGGGTTAAAGGTAGCATCTTCTTCCACTATTGATTGCATTTTGTTCTGAGGCCCTGTGTATGAGGGGGAAATGTGCATGGTTACTTAAAATAGGTGCAAACTCCTGATACAGAATTAATGCATCTGCATAAAATAGTATTACTCGCACCACTAGCACTCAGCAATGTTAGTCTGCTTATGTGGGGGTTGCATCAGTAATCAGTCTTACTGCAAACTTTCTTAGTGTAGATGAAACGTTAGTAACGTGCAAGTCTGAAGCGAAGTATCCTGTAACAGAAGTGTTGTGCTTTCTCACTCGTATGAGATGGAGATGCAGTGACAAATCTAAGTGAAGAGAACTTGACTACTTTAAAAACATTTGACTCGTTGCCAATGGTGTAGGAAAGCTTGCTCAGAAGATGCAAGAAATTTGTCCTCTGGATTCTTAAATTGTCTTTGATCACTGCTGACTTGGACTTTGTCTTGAATATGGTATGGGTAATATACTAATAGTTGTTGACTGATCAAGGGACATGCAAAAGATTGTCCTGGAGGTATATATAAGACCTACTGGAAGGCTACAGATAGTATAAAATTGAGTTCTCTCTCTATTAAATGATTGCTACAGAAGTGCAATATTAAGTGAACTAGTTGGTTACAGAATTAAATCCTCGTATCTATATATGCAGTCTATAATACTTTCCTCTGTCTGAAAACCCTTAAGTCTGGCTTAGGGCCAGGCTATCTGAGCGACTGCATCTTCCTCCCGTGGTGATTGAGAACAGTTAGGAATGTTAGGTAGCTTTCTCTTAATGTGGTTAGATGCATGATTTCTTGCTGAAGGCCTTTTACTTTAGTGTTTTTTTTCCCAAGTGATATGCTAGGAGTCAATTTGATCTTTAAGACAGGATGCAAAGCCCATCTCTTCTCAGGCTTAGGTAAGATGATGATTTGCCGTGACGGAATTTGGATTTGAACATATATGTTTGTAGGTCTTTGAACCTGTATGACCAAAATAAGGGAAGCTGTGAGTTGTATTTATCTAAAAACATGTGTTTTGTGATTAACAGATGTTCAGTTTGGGGTGGCTATTTTTGGCATTTATACATTATATTTCAAAAATATGGACATTAGAAAGGTAAGATAAAAGGAATATGACTTAAAACAATTAAAGTGGAAGCAAAAGTAAAGATCAGAGATTGTAAAAATTTAAAATTATGGGGAGAAAAAAGAAATCAAGGGAAAAGACTCATCTGCTGCGCTTTCACTAAGAAATGCTCCCGAGTTCTATACTGACAAACTTCCAAATTTTCAAACAGTGTAGGCTTAATTGAAAAACACATTTTGAAAGTAACTTTCTTTTTTAGTGATGTGTGTATGTATATATATATTCATGTTTTTCAGACTCTTAGTGTGCAGTCTTCAACAAATGGTCAGTTTGTCTCTCCTAGTGATATTCAGTTGAAATGCAGTTATTGCAAAAGTTCTTTTTGTTCAAAGCCAGAAGTACTGGAATGGGAGGTAAGGGGGTTTGGTTTTATTTTTAGCAGTTTCCAAAGAGGAAAAGGAAGGGTGAAGTGTTTACAAATGTTTAAACCTGAATTACATGGAATTTGTATCTGGATAGCTATTTTTAGAAGGTATTAAAACTTTAAAAATTTATTTAATAAAATCTAGATGGTTCTGTAGAACATCAGTCGACTTTGATATGAATAAAAGCAAAAGTCTTTATTTGTAAGTAACAAAAAAGATTTTAAAGAAAAATGTATTTTTCATCTCAGCTGTAAGTTTAAAGTCTGTTTTCATCTCTAGTTATTTTGCTACTGTAGATGTTATAGACCATTGTTACACTTCCTTGTAAACTAAGAAAAATACCTGAAGAAGATGCACTAAGATTAATTGGCATATTTTCTGTTTAGCTTTTTCATATGAAATGATGATGGGTATTTGTAGCACTCAGTGTCAGCTTGAGCAAGAGCTACTAATTTTTAGCATTAAAGTCGCATCCTTACTGTGTGCTTGCACTTCTGTTTACATTGCATGTTAAAGCTGTGTATTAAAAGGAAACTGCTATTTAAAGTTGCACTCTCCTAATCTTGACATTTCATATATTTAACCCTCTTTGTGATGCTTTGCAATTTTGCATTTAGAACAAAGTTTATCAGTTCTGCAGCAGAGCTTGTTCTGATGATTATAAGAAACTGCACTGCATAGTTACGTACTGTGAATATTGCCAAGAGGAGAAAACGCTACATGAAACGGTGAATTTCTCTGGTGTCAAAAGACCATTTTGTAGTGAAGGTATGTATGTGTTTAGTTTTTTTCTTCTTCTTTTTTTAATTATGTTCATCATTGTAGTTTTCCTGTAGCTGACTTACTGTGTTACTATGTCATGTTAAAATCTAAGGTACCAACTCATTCTGATGCACCTGAGGCTGAAACAAAAGTTCCTTTACTCTTAGTGAATGTAGCTGTAGGATTTTTTTTTTTTTTTTTGAGTTACTCTTACAGTCTTCTGAGTTTTTTGTCACTTACCGCAGGTTAAGGAAGACGGGCAACGCTCTTTAAGTCTGTGTGTGTGTATAAATAGACAAAAATTTATATATATAAACTTTTGAACTTTATGTAGCAGAGCCTATACCTACACTAACTAGATTGAGGGAATAGCAAGCTTTCTGTTTGATTAGAATTTTTTAAATTGAATATGCCAGTGGAAAATCTTTTTGCATTGACTTATGAAGCGCGTCTCAGTAATAGCTTGCTCTTTGTTGACACATGTTGATTACTGTCATTGTAATTTCCCTGACTAATAATTTAGATTTTGAAAAGGAAAAGTTAAAAAGGATATCTATAGGTATAGGATTCTTTTAAGTTGCATTAAAGCGTGCAAAGGATTGAGATGGATTTTTCTTGTTGTTGTATTTATTTTATGTGTGTGTTTGTTTATTAAGCAAAATAACAATGTTTATGAGAACTTATCCTTCCTGCTTTTGGGGAGCTGTCCTTTGATGCTGGTATTTAATGCTGATCTTAGACGTTAAGTTTGGGTGACCTATCATTTGGAGGATATAGTGAAGATAAATATATATTTTTTTTTAAGTAATTTCATTAGTAGTGCTTTCACTATCATTCGATAAACCTTGCTGAAGATCTTTGCTTTCAAGTAAAGTAAACAGCACATTTGCCAGTTGTAGTTGTAGTGGAATCCTGCTAACATGGAGAGGAGGTTAAGGGTGATTGGAGGCAGATACCCCCACACCTCTGCATTTCCTTATAGCTCTTGACTTGGGAATTTTCTGCTTTTGATGAATGGAATGTGGTGGCTTAGATTTCTCTGCTATCCTTATCTTCTTCTTGTGTTCTGGACTGCAAAGTGAAGAGGAAAAAAGGACAAAACAAGGCCTAATTTTACAGTATGTCATTGCAGTGCTCAATAAACAAACAATTCCATGGAATATATTCAAAGACAAGAGCGAACTTCTTTCTGTGTGGATATTACAGTATATTCTGGTGTGGCTGTAGAACACTTTCAACTCCCTTGTTTTAAAAGAAATTGAAGAACTGTTTCAAAGCCTGGCAGCTGTCACAAGGAAATCAGTAAGATTCATAATGCAAACTAGTATTACTACTGTAGATATATTTCAGTATGAGGAGGCTTGGAATGAGTATTTCCTCAAATTCCTTGAGTTTGTATTTCCTATTGGAAAATTTGGGGAAGGAAAGAAAGTGGAGGTTCTCTTTGGCGTGAATACAGTTACTAAATGACCAAATGGGGGAAATCCACCTCCAGAAGTCTTAGCATGGATCCTAACTTTGCATGTGTTGGTCTGCCAGCTTGAGAGTAGAGATGATCTGTATCAGGAGGAATACATGAAATGTTAATGTTAAAACAATGATTAACAGTGAATATCAGCTTACTCTGCCCATCTGAACCACTGAATAACGGAAAAGGAATTAAAAACACCATAAACAGGATGTAACTTGAGTAAATATGGCTTTGCTGCACACATTTGCTAGCCACAGCTTAGATCTCCTTTATGGTGCGTATGAGAAAAACTCTCTATATTACCTGATGTAAAACTGCTGATTGGACAGAAGCTGTGTAGAAAGAAGCTAGGCCCTGTTTTTTAAGGGAAAACCAACATTTGTTATGGATTGCTGCAGAAATACTGGAATCCACGAAATGGGCTTCTCTCAGCAGTGCTTCGATTTGTGATGTGGGGAAGAGAGGCCCAGGTCTTTAGATGGATTCAGTGGTGTTCAACAAATAAATGTTCCATCATCAGAGGCAATAGATTTCTTTTCCTCTTTAACCAAGCACCCAAACGCCCCTAATTTTTCCTTGGTATCATAGCCTTTTTCCAGAAATACGTACCCAACTGTCTGTAAAGTAGAAAAAGCAGTACATGTACCAGATAAACTTGTTGTGTAGGATGACTGTGCTTTCTTTCTTTCTTTTTTTTTTTTTTTTTTTTTTTTTGATTTTGGAAATATGGTCTTGAAGAATCTTCAGCAGCATAGGTTACTTTGTTGTTCTTCACCAAAAGACAATGTATTATGTTTGAGAAGGAATACCAAAGGCGTTCAGTCACAAAAGATACTGGCTTTCTGGAAGCAATTGAACTCTGAAGGGAAAATACAGGCAAATTTCAGATGTGCGTGTATATATATCAAAGAAGACTCCTAAATAAAGCTGACAGAAGTTAAACAAGCGTTGAAATTCCTGCAGAAGTGCTGACTTATTCATCTTAAAACCAACCAATGGGGAGCATATATAAGATAATGCCTGCTTAACCAGAAACTGAAGAGATGCCATTCTTCTGCTCACAGTCTTCAAACTTGAGTTTTTCGCGCACTCACACGCTCTTACAAACCTTCCCACCCACGTTAAAGTCTCTGGGTTCAGTACCTCTGTGCACTTTCATTCCAAGTGTTTCTTAGTATGTCCTCCTCGAGGAAATATTTGAAAATGTATGCAGTGGCCTGCTGAAACTTCTGTTATGATAAGATGTAATTAGAACTGACCTGTCATTCATGCTAAAAGTGATTATTAGTTATTTCATGGCGTAGAGTGTGTTTGTGGGTGGTGGTTTTTGTTTTTTACTGGTTTTTGTCCAAAACTCAGATGCTACATGGAGGAGGAGTCATCTGAACTGACTAGTTAAAGAGTGTAATCTGTCCCCTTCGGGATGGGGCTTTGGAAATTAAACTGTCCTGTTTTACCAGCAGAGAAATATTCTAAAATACCAGTATCTAAATGAAGTAAGATATCGGTAAAAAGATAATTGCATATGCCAAAGCAAGGAGATCAAAGCCACTTGTGAATTTTTATGTATATGTAGTTATACCAGTGACAAATGAGGGTAGGCTGTGCAAGCTTTTTTTTTCCCTGAGGAAATCCTCAAGATTTCGAGTGTGTTTTATTTTGTTTTATAAACGTGTATCTCCCTTGAGGGCCTTGGAGAACAAGTCATTTTTCAGCAATCCAGCAGCAGAACTGTTTTACCATGAATATCTTCCTAACTTTTTTTGCTCATAGACTTTTTTTGTGTGTATTTCGTCTTTTCAATAGGACTAAGTGCTAACATTTAAATAACACAGGCTCCGTAACAGTTTATAATAGGAATTTCAATTACGTTGATTCGTATCTGGCTGCTTCCTGCTTCTTGGAAGAAGGTCATTAAGCTATGGAATAGCTCGATTATCTGATGTTTGGAAGTTTCTTTCAAATGGTAATATGGATAAAGGTCAACTATGAAACCAGCAACTGCACTGTCATCTTGGTAGTATACTAACCACTTTCTGGGAATCATGTGTCTCTTAAGTACAAGGTTCTGCAAACTAAACTCAATGTGAACAATTCCGATGTTTCAGCTAAGCAGAATACAACCTATTTGGGCAATATTGTAGTGTTGACTATTGTATAAGTAGGAAAAGAAATTTAGAAAATTAAATGACTTCAGAATTGAGTATGTCTAGGAAAGATGTATAGCTAGTTAAAGCACTGTAGATTTTGGGCATTTTTTCCAGCCATTACTGCACAGTAGGTTTAAAAGTATACTTTAACAAACAATGTTTAGAGCTGATTTATATAAAAGCATTAGAAAAATCCTGGGAATACCCTAAAACCCAATATTCTGAACTACAAGAAGTGCTTACATACGAATGTTTCACAACAAAGTAAGAAACTACATTAAATTTATAACAATTCCTATTATTGCTAGAAACGTTAACAAGCTGGTTTCGAAAGTGGTCTGTCATATGAAATGTTGCTAAAACTTTGTTGCTGCGTTTCTCCAGTAGATGGAGAACTACACTGAGGAAAAGTTGGTATCCTGGCCCTGCCTAGCTGAGCTGCTCTGCTCCCCTAGACCAAGGGAAATGCGATCTGGCGTGAGGCTTGAACCTCTCATTGCTGATGTTTGATTTCGTTATTGTTAAACTTGAGAGCTATTGAAGCTATTTGTTTTAACATTTTTTGTTGTTATTTACATTATCAATTATCTCTATTTTTAGAGATGCTGATGCTGTTTTAAAAATAAATGTACAGAATTTGGGATAGTATACAGAAAACTTAGGACAGTAGTGAAGCATACCCTTTATGACAAATTTAAGACATAATTACAGTTTCCTAATTGCCTGCTACTTTGCTATAGGACCACTTATAACATTATCAAGGATAGGCAAGTAGTATATAGTTACAGAAAAAAGGTGATCTTTAGTATTTGTAAACAGTATATTACTGTTTCCAAATTTGCATAATAAAAATCCTGTTACAAACTCTCTCAAGTTTGTCCTTTACAGAGTTTATCTCCCTCTCTGCAGCTCTGACAGTGGCCTACCATATTAAAATAACTTAGGCTTCCTCTGGTGTCTTTTCAGCTTCAACCAACCATCCATGATAAAAAGTTTTTGTTACTGACCACTTCCTTTGGCAGTGTATGACAAATCCCGCTGATAAACTCTAACTTGAAATATCAGCTTCCCTGTGGCTTTCTTCTGAGGGTTTATTCAGTGTTGAATTGGAAAACTCTGGCAATGGGAATCAAGAAGCAAAATACATCTTAAATGCCATAAAGTGTATGACCCCCAAAAATACCCTTTCATAGCTACCAGTGTTGTGTTGTTACTGAAAGATATGATGATCGAATTGGAAGGTTTTTCCTTCCCACAGGTCAAGTTATTAGAAAAGTAGAAGCCAGGGATTTTGAGGCTCTTGAGTTACTCTGAGAGAATACTATGTACTTTAACTGTTACAGACAAAAAAACCACAATGGATCAGTCCTGATATCAAGTTGAAC